ATTCCAAACATAAGTTTCGTATTTCTCACCGTAGAATCTGAATTTGCAAAAAAAATAGGGTATTCCATTTAAAAAACTAAACTTCCGGTCTAAACAACCCACTTCCAGTCAATACTGGAAGTTGAATATAGCACCATTTAATAGAGCGTGCTCGACTTAGTGAAAAAATTGTTTTGAATTTTTAATAAAATGTTGATTCCTTTATTTTAAATAGGTGGTACGGGTGGTCTGAAACACCCTGTATACAGTAACCTGTGTTTCACTTTAAGTAATATGGTCGATTATCTCGCGAATTGATTTTATTGAAAAATTTTTCCAACGAAAGTTGCATGGCTTGAAGAGGGACACATGATGAAAATGTGGACTTGATTTTGAGTGACCTTGTCAAAATCAGATCAAGGTCATTAGTTTTTTTTAAACTGAAACCCCTATTTTTTATTACATATTTTTGTAGCTTATCGCGAGAGCTTTCCAAAACACTATAATAAAGTTACGTTTCATTGAGTACTTTCCGAGTTATGGAGCTTGAAAACTACAGTATCGGCGGCGTTATCCATGTATGCATGCGCGTGTGAGCCGGATTCTTACGCGCGCGCGTCTCCGCGATCTATTCGCACTGCTTGATTTACGCTCATGCGCACGGAATTGAGTCCAATCCTTCTCAATTGAACGATTCAACTTTCCTCTTTTTTTCGTATAGCTTTTTCTTTTTATTTTCTTACCTAAGTGGGCTTTTTCAAAGCTTTTTGCAAAATAGCCGCTTACAGTTCAAATGAAATAGTTGATATTATTCTTGTGCTTGGTGAAGCTGGACGAAATTATTGTAAAGCAGAAAGATTGTATCGTAATAGATATCCGTTTAGACGACATCTAAATGCAATGCAGATAAGAAGAATTTTATTACGAGAGCGTAGAAGAATCTGTAAGAGAAATCGCAAGCAAATAAATGTTGAAGATGACGTTAATGATCCGCGTGTATTAGCAGTGTTAGCAATGATAAACTTGAATCCTCATATTTCGACTAGAGAACAGCAACGTAATTTAGGAATTCCTTATATCCTTCCTGTGTAGAGGATTTTACAAAGACATAAATTCCATTCCTACCATATCACTTTAACCCCAGATATAAGTGAAAATGATATAAGGCTAAGAAGACAATTTTGTCGTTGGGCATTACGAATAATAAGAGAAGATCCAACTTTTTTCCAGTATGTTCTCTTCAGTGATGAAGCCTCATTTCATAACAATGGACAACAGGCATAACTGTATTTATTGGTCCACATACAATCCTCACTGGACTCAACGTGTTGATAATCAACATCGTTGAAGTTTAAACACTTGGTGCGGAATTGTAAATAGATATTTGATTGGTCTATACTTTTTTGATAACCGCTTAAATGGGGAAACTTACTTTTCTTTCTTGCAGAACAAATTGTCTGAGCTTTTAGAAGAGGTTTATCTTGCTACTCGACAAAAAATGTGGTGGCAGCAAGATGGGCGCCACCCCATTCTCATCGTATTGATGGAATACCTTAATAACATCTTTCATGAAAGATGGATAGAGAGGTATGGATATATTCGATGGCCTTAATGGTCTCCTGATTGAACTTCGTGTGATTTTTTTTGTGGGGCTACATAAAAAATATTGTTTACAAAACTCCGTCGACATCTGCAAGAGATATGAAAAATCGAATAACTAATGTTTATCGTAGCATTCCTCAAAATATTTTCATTTCAACAGTAGAAAATTTTGAGAAACTATTGAGGCTATGTCTGCAAAAAAATAGAGCTCCATTTAAACATCTTATCAACGGCTAAAGACATATTCGAATCGGTTTTACCTTAGTTGGCCGGATCAATGATCGGTCTTGCCTTAGTTGGACGGATCAGTGATCGGTCTTGCCTTAACTTTCAAGCTCCATAACTCGGAAAATATTCAATAAAATGTAACTTTATTACAGTGTTTTGATATTTCGCGATAAGCTACAAGAATATGTAATAAAAAATAGGGGTTTCCATTTAAAAAAACTAATGATCTGATTTTGACAAGGTCACTCAAGGTCAAGTCCATATTTCCATCATGTATTCCCCTTCAAGCCATTTTCCAACTTTCGTTGGAAAAATTTTTCAATAAAATCATCGATTCGCGAGATAATCGACCATATCACTTAAAGTGAAACACCTTGTATATATACATATGTGTCGAAGCATACAACTGTAATACCTTCTGTAAATCATCTTGGGCGCCTGTAGTTATACGGCCGAAAAATATTTCTTCTGACACTCGTCCACCAAGTGTCATACACATTCGATCAAATAACTGTTCCTTTGTGTAAAGATATTGTTCACGCGGTAAATATTGTGCATATCCTAATCCTTTTCCGCGTGGGATGATGGACACCTAAGGAAGATGATAGAAGTTTGACTATTATCATTAAGTAATATTCAAACTACTGACTGAATAGTAATATTTAAAGTCAAGTGCTATTTAAACACATTTCCGTTATAGTAGTTTTGTACTGACATTTATTCATATTTGTAGGCACATCTCAAATTTTGTGAAAATTTTTTATTCAAAATAAAAAATACAACTAAAAATAGTACAAGTAAATACAAGAAAATACAACAAGTAAACAGGTCATCACGCCGTCTTCCATCGAGCGCACAGTGGGGCCATTCGACATGCATCGTTTCAAAAATACCTAGAGTCCTTGGATTTCAACCAATTTTGATGCTTTTTTTTTTAAATGATCGTCTTGAAATTTGCAAGAGATCTGTCGAAGTCTATTTTTAAAAAATGTTTTAGAAATTAGTTATACATACAGGGTGTTTGACTAATACCATACCGGAGCTAATATATTGCTAGAATAGATCGGGGTGAGTAATGGAATCGGTGTCTTTTTTTAAACAA